TTGTTTTAATAGCCTGAGTTGCAGAACCAGCTTTGGCTACCTTTAGCAAGTCCTATTGGGATGTCTCTTTTTAGAATATGGGAGTACTTATCCATTGTTTTGAGAGCTGCAAAGGTTTTGACACAACAGTAACCATCCTGTTTTTATGTTTTATGTTTTAGTTTTATGCATTAAAAGCATTTTCCCCCTCTGATCATGTAACCTGGGGCTAATCAAAGAAAATACCAAGTTTTTAGATTTACCACCTCCTATGTGGTAAATTGTGAGAATTGTAAAATCTTGAGTTCATTTTGGCTCATTAACTAAATAACTATATAATATAATAACTGTAGTTTCTAGGATCTCCATTTCCTTAGCTATATAAAGGATTTAGATAAGCCCTTTCAGATCTAAGCTCCTATTTTAATTATATGTCACAAATCAATATGCAGAGTACAGTAGCAGAATCCATAAAAAATTAAATGATAGCCTTCTGAGAATTAAAAGTTTTTACATGTATGACAAAATAGTCAACATTAATGAGATTACAAACTGTTAAGAAGCACTTGAGCATCTGGGAAAATTATCAAAGGACATGAAACCGAGAACAGAAGAAGAGAAAGAAAATTGCCAATAAACATAGAAAAAAATTCAACCTGATTAGGAATCAAAACATGCAAGTTAAAAGTAAGCTATTTTGAGGTGCTTGGGTAGCTCAGTTGGTTAAGCATCTGACTTTGGCTCAGGTCATGATCTCACAGTTTGTGAGTTCGAGCCCATGTCAGGCTCTGTGCTGACAGCGCAGAGCCTGGAGCCCACTTCAGATTCTGTCTCCCTCTCTCTCTGCCCCTCTCCTGCTCATGCTCTGTCTCTCTCTCTCAAAAATAAACAAACGTTAAAAAAAAAATACATATATATATAATAAAAGATAAAAGTAAGATTTATCATAGTAGAAATTTTTTAAAAATTGATGCTAATAGCCACTGTGGGTAAGGATGTGGGTAAATTCTTATATACTTCCAGTGAAATGTAAATTGATATTAATCTTTTTATGGAAAGTCTAATAATTATCATGCAAATCTATATTTATGATATGGAACCATGCCTGTAATATATTTTTAAGTGAAAACTGTATGCATAAGCTTGTTGAGGGAGAAATAAAGAATGCTCTTTTTTTAAAATGTTTATTTTGAGAGAGAGAGAGAGAGTGTGCATGTGTGCAAGCGTGCGAGGGAGGGAGGGGCAGAGAGAGAGGGAGAGAGAGAATCCCAAGCAGGCTCCGTGCTGTCAGTGTAGAGCCTGACTCGCCGCTCAGTCTCAACAACTGCCATCATGACTTGAGCCGAAATCAAGAGTTGGGACGCTTAACTGACTAAGCACCTAGGTGCCCCAAGAATGCTCTCTTATATATGTATTTGTATATGTGTATGTATACTAAAGAAAACTGGAATGCTAGACTTCAAAGGTTTAATAATGATTACTTCTAATTGATAATTTTATGGAGGATTTTTCTATCTTCCTTATGCCTTTGCATGTAGACAGTTTTTATAGTGAGTATTTTATTAGTTTTAGTTTTTTAATAGAAAATATATGCATATTGTTAAAAATTCAGTTTCTTTAAGGTTATACGTTGGTAAGTAAATCTCCTTTTCACCCCAGTCTCTCCAATCTCCCATTTCTCTTCACCAAGGCTACCATTGTTACTGATTTATATGTCCTTCCAGAGACATTCTATGCTGATGCAAACTTTTTAAAAAAAGCACAAATGGTAGCATAGCATACAGTGGATTTTTAGCCCTTATTTTACAACCCGTGTTAGTACTCACACATGTCTATTCTTTTGAAACAAATAACCTTATACATACTTAATTGTTCATGCATATATGCAAGTATGCCACTGAGATAAATTCCTAAAAGTGGAGTTACTAGGTCAAAAGAGAAGTTCATTTAAAATTGTTCCACATAGGGGTGCCTGGGTGGCTCAGTCAGTTAAGCATCCAACTTTGGCTCGGGTCATGATCTCATGGCTCGTGAATTCAAGCCCCTCATGGGCTGCCAGCTCAGAGCCTGGAGCCTGCTTTGGATTCTGTCTCCCTCTCTGCCCCTCCCCCATTCATGCTCTGTCTCTCAAAAATGAATAAACGTTAAAAAAAATGTTTTTAATTCTAAAATTGTTCAACATATATAGTTTATGGCTGTTAGAAAAAAAAGGCAAATCACAACTCTGTTTCTCTTTTTCTGACCACTTTTTACTGCCTTCATTTCTACTACCACTTTTATTCAAACTACCTTCTTTTCTCAGGATTATCCTTCAGTAGCCCCCTACTGGTCTCCCTGCTTCAACTCCCGACCCTTCAACATAGGAGCCAGAGTAATCATTTCAAGACATAAATTATTTTAGCCCTCTGTTCCAAACCCTACCAAGCAAAAGCCAGAGCCCTCATACCTCCCCTCCTCCCCAACAATCTCTCTGACTTTGACTTTTCTATTTGTTCCTGATACGGAGCTACGCTAGCCTCATTACTGTATCTTGGCTCTACCAAACATGCTTCCACTTCAGGGCCTTTTGTGGTTGCAGTTCCTTATGCCTGAAATGTCATGATTCACTCCCTTGGTTCCTTCTGTTCCTTCTCAAGTAGCCGCCTTATTGCAGACCACCCTGTGTTTTAAATAAGAATCTTCCACCCTCTCCAAAGCCTTGTATTCTTTTTGCCCTGCTTTTTAAAAATTTTACTCCATTGCACTTAACTACCATCTAATGTTTTGTGCCGACTACTAGCCGCTTGTGGCTATTGACCACTTGAAATGTTAGTCTAATCAAGGAATGAAATTTTTAATTATATTTAACTTTAAATTGAAATCTAAAAACTGATAGTTCAGTTCCTAGAAAACTTTTTTTTTTTAATTTTTTTTTTTTTTTTTTAACGTTTATTTATTTTTGAGACAGAGAGAGACAGAGCATGAACGGGAGGGGCAGAGAGAGAGGGAGACACAGAATCGGAAGCAGGCTCCAGGCTCTGAGCCATCAGCCCAGAGCCCGATGCGGGGCTCGAACTCACGGACTGCAAGATCGTGACCTGAGCCGAAGTCGGACGCTTAACCGACTGAGCCACCCAGGCGCCCCTGAAAACTTTTAAGTATATTTGAACAACTTGGGTAAATGAGTCTACTTTTTTGACTGTAAATTTTACAAAATCTAAATTCAGATCTAGTATTTCCAATGAAAATTCAGCATCCAAATTGAGATGTGCTGTAAGTGTAAAATACACACTGGATTTCATAGACTTTGTAAGAAAAAGAAATGTAGTAATCTCTCAGTTTTTTATAATGGTTACATGTTGAAATTATAATATTTTACACATCTTGGGTTCAAAATACATTATTAAAGATAGTTTCACCTGTTAACTTTTTACTTTTTAAAATGTAGCTACTAGAAATGTGTGGCTCATGTTATATTTCTGTTGGACAGTGTTGCTCTGTTTACTTACACAGTAGTTTATTGTGTATCTCTGTACTAGAATGTGAGCTCCATGTGGGCAGGGGTTTAGTCTGTTCTGATCCATACCCAATCAGTAGGTATCCAATAAATTTCATAAAATAAATGAATAAATCTGAATTTCCTCTTTTTTTAAAAAAGCTACTATGAATACAAATTAAAAGGAAAACAAAATTTATGTGCATATCCTAGAACCTGAGCAAAACGTTACTACTATATATAGAATGCTTATAAATAAATAAGATCCAAATAAAAAAGGGCCAAAGTTATGAACAAACACAAGTAGAAATCCAGGTCGTTAATAAATATATAAACAAAGTTTCAACTTCATTCAAATTTTCAACAAATCCAAATTAGAATAAGCTATCCTTTGCCTAAGAAATTGCACAAAGATAGAAGAAAAATTATACATATCTCTCTGGAAGACAGTATTGTAGTCTGTATAACTAATCTTAAATTATGGATATTTTTTTACCCTGTTTTTCCATATCCAGGAATTTATTTTTAAAGAGATAATCACAGATATATAAAAAGATGTTTCTATTAACATCCATTGCAGCTTTGTACAGATGAAACCTTGAACAATGCAGGGGTTAGGGGCACTGACCCCCACATAGTTGAAAATCTACATATAACTTTTGATTCCCCCCAAATTTAACCACTAATAGCCTACTGATTAGAATCAGAAGCCTTACTGATAATGTAAATAGTCAATTAATGAATATTTTGTATATGTATTATATGCTGTATTCTTACAATAAAGTGACATTTTTCTTAAGAAAATGTTATTAAGGTGGCATCTGGCTACTCAGTAGGTGGAACATGCAACTCTTGATCTTGAGGTTGTGGTTCGAGCCCCACATTGGGTGTAGACATTACTTAAAAATAAAATCTTTTTTTTAAAAACGAAAATGTTATTAAAAAAATCATAACAGAAAATACATTTACAGTATACTGTATGTATAGGAAAAAACTTGCTTCTAAGTGGACCTTCACAGATTGAATGCATGTTGTTGAAGGGTCAACTCTATGTAATACCAAAATGAAATCAAATTTAGCATTCAGTTCCAGTAGTCCAAAGAGGGGTGGGGTTCAGGGTAACAGCTTTAAAGGGAAAATATTTTTAAAGTTCTGTCTTGGTCAAAAAGTCTGCTTAATAAACCAGTTTTTATTTTCAGTTAATATGTTAGGAGTAGGAGATTGTATGTATACTAAATAACATTTATTTAAAATTATTTATAATCCTTTTAAGGTAAGTTTTATTTTTAAATTTCTACTGTGCTATTTAGCTGTATCTCATAACCCTGTCTTTTGATGGTTTTGAGGTTTAAACTGATTAAATGATTTGTTTAAAATTCTATCAGAAAGTAATGACATATTTGTAGTTTTCATTTCTAGTATGTTAACCATGGGTCGGTCATATAACATCCCAATTTTCTCCACCATAAAAATGGGAATCTATTTTGTGGAAATAATTTTATGTAAATGTGTATTTAATGCTTGTTTCATCTTTCTTACCTTTCAGAATTACCATGAAATTATGACTCGTCATCCTGAGAATTATCAGTGGGAAAACTGGAGTCTAGAAAATGTGGCCAACATTTTAGCCCACCGGTTCCCCAATAGTTACATTTGGGTGATAAAGTGTTCTCGAATGCATTTGCACAAATTCAGCTGCTATGATAATTTTGTGAAAAGTAATATGTTTGGTGCTCCAGAACACAATACTGACTTTGGAGCTTTTAAGCACCTTTATATGTTATTAGTTAATGCTTTTAACTTAAGTCAGAACAGTTTGTTATCAAAGAAGAATGTGAAAGATTTGAATCAGGACTCCAAAGCATCTAATTGTAGATCCAGTTCTTCTCACACTACTAATGGTTGCCAGGGAGAAAAAGAGAGGACCTGTGAAAAGTTTGATGAGTCTGCCATGAGTTTTTATCCACCATCACTAAATGGTGCTTCTTTTACTTTGATCGGATTCAGTAAAGGTTGTGTTGTTTTGAATCAATTGCTTTTTGAATTAAAAGAAGCCAAGAAAGACAAGAACATAGATGCTTTTATCAAAAGCATAAGAACAATGTACTGGCTGGATGGTGGTCATTCCGGAGGAAGCAATACTTGGGTTACTTATCCAGAAGTCTTGAAAGAATTTGCACAAACAGGAATTATTGTTCATACCCATGTAACACCTTACCAAGTATGTGATCCAATGAGATCTTGGATTGGAAAGGAGCACAAGAAATTTGTTCAAATACTTGGAGATTTTGGTATGCAGGTGACTAGCCAAATTCATTTTGCAAAGGAAGCTCCTTCCATAGAGAATCACTTCAGGGTTCATGAAGTATTTTGAGACTACAAGAACATTAATGTCCTTGTTCAGTGGAAGAGCAGAAGCACTTTGAGTGTTATAAATTCAGGTAGTGAGATCTAATTCATAGATGCACTGTCAGTTTTTCGGGGGCGGGGGGGGCGGGGGGAGGAAGCACACATTCCTAAAGAGTGTAATGTGCAATAGTATTCCTTGCTCGTGAATGTGAACAGTTTTTAATTTGGATTGGGTTAGAATTAGTTCATTTGAAAAGTAAAAGGTGATTTGTGATAACCTTACAAGGAGATACAAGACCCTTAGGAATGAGAGTTATGATATAGTCCTTCTAAAAGGTAATGAAAATTGTTATTGTTGGAAATAGTTTATTTTCTGAGTACTAATGTTTGGAACTAATTTTGGTGACACTAACGGTAATTAGCTATTTTGGCACTCAAAACTCCCATTTTTCTTCAAATAAAGCAAAGGCACACTGATGTTTTCCATAATTCTGGAATAACTATATCCTGCCTCTTATGTTTTATAAACTCATAGTCATCCTTTAATGTGCCACCAAGTGTTTTTTTTCTTGAAAGTCAAAATGTATTTGTTTCCACATTTCCAAAAACATGTAGTAATGTACAGTTGGTTTTTAAAAACATTACACTTAAGCACTGTGGCTTTTAGATAAGACATTTTGGACTTGACTCTTGGCCAAAAACCAGTTCTTTGGCAAAATTGTTTTAATTAGAACATAATTAGGTATACTGCATAAAAATAGACTACAAATTTAAAATCTTTTCATCATATCAGTCTTTTGAAAGAGATCAACTTAGGTGAAATAAATATATAACACTCGATTTGTTACTGCTCTATTGAAAAGGAGGCAGATTCTATACATCTAAGTTAGTGTTTCTCCAGAAGCTTGATTTTGTCTGCCAAAAGAAAGCAGCTCTCTTTGGCCAAAATGCAAAATTATATTGCTATAAGAAAAGTTACAAGGGAAAGTTTGAAGACACAAATGATTTAGTTTTGGCTCAAAAACTGAATTTGCTTAACACTGCTACATAATTTGGGTGAGGTTTCCTTCTGCCTGTTTTTCTTGACCTAGATAAATACATTTTGAGAAACCAAGATCTAATGAGTGTCAACTAACACTGACAGCTGTATGATTACAATAAAAGGTGAGCAGTCACTTTTTTATTGCTTATTAATAATTAGCTTTTGCAGGTCATGAAATAATTAAGCAGGCATTGCCGCTTTCAAATTGATAAAAAAAGATACTGAAGCTTAATATCTTAATAACCCAGAGGACCTAAATTTATAAAATACAGAATTAAAATGTTAATCTCTTGGTTTCTTCCCAGACTTATATTTTAATGACTCTGTAATACATTCCAAATATTCAAACTTATCAGAATTCTTGCTCACCAAATGCTTAGAAATGACATCCCTTAATTGTATAAAGTACAGAATAGTATCTCAATTTTTTTTAAGGACAAGTTAGTTTATGTTGGTTCAATTTCTTTACCGGCTTTTAAGACCAAAAATTCCCAGTAAGGAAACCAGCAACCTGATTCTAGCATTTTATTACCTAATCTGAAAGTATCATGATTGGTTGGATGGCTTCTTTCAATGTTTAATAATCCTTGGTTAAATTCATGTGTATCTAATGTTAAGTAGCTAAGTTACTGAATGCACTACTGAGGGGGAAGGAAAAGCACTTATTTCACAGGATTAGGTAATGGAAAAAAGAAGGATTTATCTGAAAAATCTGAGATATTTAAAAATCTGGGTTCTTTAGCTATCTAGTCATATGACTGCTTAATTATAATTATTATGTGTTCAATGGATGTTAAGAATAACTCACTGGACACCTGGAACTGCCATTGCAACAGGATGAGAGTGTTGAAAGTAGAAATATTTTCTTGAATGAAAATATATTCCAGCTGATCCCTATTCGAATATTTATGACTTCCAATTTGTTCTTTCTCTACATTTGTTTAAAACTATTGTAAATGTTAGTGTATCCTTTTGGATTGTGCCTTTGTGTTTGTGTCATGAGAATCAACTGAGAAGTCATATAGATAATGTGAAAGTTGTTACCGCCACAGCATGAATGTACAATTGTATTAAATTTAATCCAGAGAAGTCTGTTTGGATGTGCTTTATGTTAATAGATTTGTTAAAATTTCAGATTGTTACTTGGAAGGAAGCTATTTCTATCCACTTTGCTAGTTTAGGTTTGTATATGTCTTCATTAACCTTCCATGTCTTTTCATATGAGCAACTTTGAGTCTTTCCTGTAAAAATACATTTCTTCTCTCCTTTAAGTTGCCCCACAAAAATTTGCTTTATTTCCATTTCTTTTGCTGAATTTCTTGTGGAAGAAAAACTCAAGTAAGTAGGTTTTTCCTTTCATGTGCTAATAATTTCAGGTATATGTATTTCTTGTGCTCTCCTTAAGAGTCTTAGTTAAAATATGGTGTGATCTGCTTTTCATTTCACCCATGTAATGATATATATAAGCACCCACCCAGGCAAGAAAGATCTAGGCTCGGACAAACCAGTCTCAAGCATTTGAGTATGGAAATGTGTAATAGACTAAGCCTTCAAAGTGAAAATATGAAACAAAAGGTAGTATTTTTAAAAGAGCTATTCTGTTATACTTCATTTAAGGGCCTCAGAGGATATGATCGACACATAGGTAGACCTCATCTGTAAGTTCAGGTTGGTCTAGTAGCTCTTAGTGGTAGAGACAGGCAGTTGCTTAGGGTGGTCATTTTAGGATCCCATTTAATGGAGCTTTAAAAATAGAATACAACTTAGGCATACTTAAAACACCAAACACTCAGCATGTGTGCTTGCAACAAGACTGAGGTAACAGCAGGGATGTGTGAGTGACTGCCTGACTGGCTCTTCACCACGTCTGGTCTCAGCCCTGGAGGAAGGAGTCCCAGCAGCACAGCTCTGACCCCACACATACCTGCACTCCAGCTTCCTGCATTTTGCTTTCCTTCAACTTCTCAGGTTCAGCTTAGATGTCTGTTGGCAACTTCAGATAGGTGAGAGAAAAGCCTCCTTACCAAGATTCTTTCCAAATGTTCCCATAGCTGCTCTTCAAAAGGGTGGAAAGTACAAAATAAGCCTTGTTGAATTTATTTCCCTTTTTAAAACTGTAAGTGACAAGTTTTAAATCAATTACTGAATAAGTAGAATTCCAATGTAATTATGTGCCAAGACAAATACTGTTAGTGTTCATGAAAAACTAATACAGTCTAACACATGTATTTAAAAAAGTTGTTTTGAAAGAATGATAGAGGGGCCAAAAAAAAAAAGTCAAAATATACAACTGCAGATTCCAGTCTGCACACCTAAATTGTCTACCTTCTTCCCAAAGGCAATCACTATCACTGGTTTCTTGTATATTCTAGCAGAGATAATTCTATACATATACAAATATAAATGTTTACTTACAGCAAACCTTTGTTTTACACAAACGGCAGTACACTATATCCATAGTTTCCAACCTTTTTCTCATTTAATTACCTTGAAAACTTTCTTGCCAGTACTACAATACCTCTGTCTCATTGTTTGACTTCATAGTTTTCCATTTTCTCTTACACTCTGTTGTTTACTTGTTAGTCTTACTTTGTATCCCTTGTCTATGTGGTACAGTGAGTGGTACAGTGACAAGTTTTGCTGACAGAGAAGAAAAATTCCTTTGTGTATCAGGTCAAGCCCCCAAACTGTAGTCAAAGAATAACAAGAGATGTGCTGCACCTAAGGGAGAAAGCGTGGACAATTACTGACCTGGTCACCACAGCTGTAATTCCAGTTTCTGTCACAAGCCTGGACAATCACTTAGGCGATGTGGATTGATAAAATGATTTCTAAGATCCCTTTCAGCAATAAAGTTCTAAGATTTGGAATTCCTGAGACGTTGCAGCTAACACATACTGTTTAATATGTTATATATTAAAAATATCTCATTTGGTCTCAATCAGGTCAGCAAAAAAGATAAATGCAAAATTAAGACTCTAACATTAAAAAATATGACCAAGGAAATCATTTTAAAATTTCCCTAAGGGTTCACTTCTAGTTTTGTAGGCATTATAATTTAATACTGCCACAAGAGCCACCCCAAATCTCAAAGCTAGCACCAGCCATCACTGTCCCTGCCCTGGAATTATCTCTGTAATTTTGTAGCAACCATATAAAGTACAAGTTTAAAGATGAGGAAAATAAGCTTCAGAAAGATTAAATTATTTAACTTGCCTAAGGTCATGCAGTGTGCTCCCCAAATAAACTGAATTAAAATGAATATTCATTGGGAAGATTATAATCTGTTTTACTTCCAAGTTTTCTACATGACTCTGGATATATACTTTGCACTGATTCTCTTTGTGTTGTTTTTTTTAAAGAGGCAAAACCCAGGAGGTTTATTAAAGAGCTGAGCATAAATACTGTTCAAACTAACAGAGGTTTTTTTTTTCTTCCCAAAGGAAAAGGAATCATTAAAGAATTTCTTTGCTTAATCTAATAACTAAAGATAATTTAAAAAAAAAAACTAGTAATTAAATCAGGCTAATGTGACAATTGCTTTTCTAACAGACCGTCTTTTTACTTTTGTTGACCTGAGTAACTTCAATCTCTCTTCCCAAAGGCACCTAGGGAGTTCAGAATGATTTTTTATATACTTTTCCGTTATTTATCGTAATGTTTTTTATACCTGAAATTAATCAAACTCCAAACACAGGATATGAACAGACGAATTACTTTAACAGAAAATTATTTTGTCCATAATTAAAACGCACCAACTTGATGCACTCAGATTGCTTTAGATGAACACATTTGTGTTCAGTAAATATATCTGGTCTTTCTTCAATGAAATTGCAATATAATTACAAAGAATGGCACAGATCCACATACAATGGCTCATTGTCTTCAATGATGACAACATGATTGGGATCTCTCCTGTATTTGTTCTTAAAAAAAGAATTTTTCTCTTTAAAAAGAGGTGGAAAATCATTTAGTGGGTAAAA